ACGTCCCTCCCAACCCAGCTGGTTTGGAAGCAAATATCAGAACATCAATCCACAAGCCCATAAATGCGTCAGCATGCATCTCGGAAAAATCATGATGCTTTCCAGCATAAATGAGTCTAATACCATTATCACGTGTAAACACACTCCCAATAAACCCTTCACACCATCGCTCTCAGGTCGGGATACAGTTTCCTCATTATCGCACTTCAACAAATAACCTCGTGATCCCTGTAGGAGGCACACAGGGCGCAGACTGCACCACTGGTGGGCAGGCCTCTGCAGTGCCCCCTGAAGCTGCAGCTCCCCCCACGTCTGCCCGCTCCAGCCGCGCCCCGGGCTTCCTGAGTGGCATGAGCTCCGGGCCTGCAGAGACCTCCCTGGCCCCGGCCGATGGCACCCCGTGGAGATATTCCTGCTGCTCTCCGTCCTGTGACGCCCTGCAGACTGCCCGCCGGATAAAGCCCGGACAGGCTCAGGTGTGATTCCCAGGCGAGAAAACCACCAGGAAATGAGCACGGGCTCCTCCGTGCTTCTCTCAGGAGGCCCCAGAGGAGGGCCTGCCCCTCCCTGTGACTGGCGGAGCCCCTGACCGCTCTCCAGGCCCGTGGCTTCATTAGGGGCTGGATGACGGTCATATTTCTTTTTCTCCCAACCAGGCCAGACGTTATCCCAACTGGACTCACTTATGTAAAATGTCATGCTGGATTAATAACTCGAGGTCCTTGGGCAGAAGGCTTTAATTTCCTATTACTCTCAGAGTTCTAATCCCACGTGGTGTGATATCACCACCACCTCCCAGGCGGCTGAGCTTTCGATACGTGGCAACCAGGTGGCGGATGATCTCAGGGAGGCGAGGGGAGGCCGGGCAGGTGAGAACGGCCACCTGGGCAGCTTCACAGGGAGCCGCAAGGTCACTCTCCCCAGGGAAGCAGGCCCTCCCCTGGGCCACTGGGGGAGGGGCCCACCCAGGGGGGATGGAGCAAAGGGCCTTCGTGGCCCCAGGGTCTGCACTAATTCACATAAAGCACTCACGCCCCCGTGAGCACCCACTCCACCTTGACCTTCTATCGGATGGGAATGGGGCTGTTTTTGCTTCACTGAAAATTGCATTTCCTTTACCTCCTGTGAAGGAATTTGCCGACTTTATCACAGACAGCTGCTCTCTGAAGGGATAATCACCTCTCTCTCTCTCTCCAGCGATAAGCCGATCAGCAGTAATGACCCGTCCCTACATCCCGCCAGGGGAGACGGGCCTGCCTCTCCTCCGGAAAAAGACCTCAGCGTGGCACCGGCCCAGTTTCCCCGTCCGACCTAAATCCGTCCTCCTAGAGAATTTCAGTTCTTAATCTCCAGGACTCCTTTAGGAACAGGCGCTGGGATTGAGTTGGAATTAAATTAAAGGGCGATGCTAACATAAATTCTTATACACCATCTTGGCTGCCTCCTGCACGCCTCCTACTGGGGATCAAGCCCGCAACCCACTGGCTTTGCCAAACTCCCCGTACAGACCTTCCCCGCTTTCCGTGCTCTGTGGCTGGTCTCTCCTAACGGAGCCCCTTATGTGGGCAGCACCTTCCCTCCACATCAACGCAAACCGCGTCCCGGGGGCCCCTCTCGGTGGCTAAGCTTCTCCCGCCACCCTGGCTGCCCACCAGCCCTTTGCCCGGCCCAGGAAGATGGAGTGCAGCTGCCCAGGCCCAGGCCTCCACCTTCCAAACTTAGGCCGTGCTGTGAAGATCAGGTTCTCTGCCAGCACTCCCGGGAGCTCCCGCGTCTGCCTGAGTCATTGGAAATCCAAGGAGAAAAGAAAGCTTGGCCACCAGGGTCCCCTTAAAGCTACGGGAGCACCCACGTGGTGCTGTCGGCCTCGCCTACCTTTGCAAAGTGAGGGTGTCCTTCAACTCTGGCTTGTGTTTCACCTCTGCAGGGAGTGCCCGTCCTGGGAGATTCTCATCAGAAACAGCTAAACCACCTGAGGGAGGTTGCAGGGCCCGAGCCTGTGGCTCAGTGGTTAGAGCACCAGCCCGTGGACTGAAGGGTCCCGGGTTCGATTCCCAGTCAAGGGCATGGACCTTGGCTGCAGAAACATCATTGATGGGCTGCCTCCTGCACGCCCCCAACTGTAGACAGAGTGTGCAACCTGGGCATGTGCCCTGACCAGGGATCAAACTGATGACCTCTTGGTTCCTGGGTGGACAGTCAACTACTGAGCCATGCTGGCCAGGTGAGACATGCTGTGTTGCTCTCCCTGAGCTTCGTGACAGGATGGCCACCTCATGCCAACCAGCACACCCATCCGTGCGGTTCCCTCTCCTTCTTTGTGCTATGACCAGGTGGGATCTAACTTAGCCAGGTGCCAGTGAGCAGTGCAGTGTTGGAAACGCGGTCACAGGCTGTGCATTGCGTCTGCGCTCCCTCCTCTCATCACAAAGGCCCTGCCCTTTATCAGGGAGTCTATGCTCTCCACCTCCCAGCGCCTGGCAACCGGCCTCCACTCTCCGTTCCTATGAGTGTGACTTGTCTTTTATTTTAAGACTAGAGGCCTGGTGCATGAAAATTCATGCACTCGGGGTGGGGGGTCCCTCAGCCCAGGCCCCTTGGGGGATGTACAACTGACGGCTTAGGAGCGGGCCAGTCCACAAATTCCATTTCAAATATCGATCCTTCAACTAGCAAACCTGACATTTTTCTGGATGGCCCCTGAGTTTTATTTTACGTTATTTCGTTTTTCCTTTGCAATACCTGCCTGGTAAACGCTAGCCACGCTGCACGGAGGACCTGTCCCGCTTCTTGACTACCTGTTGCTGAGAAAATTACATGAACCTGAGGAGTCACATGCTTCCCGCCTAGAAGTCATCAGATTAAAACCCGCTAATGAAATAAGACCCAGAGAGTAATCATCCGAGTGCAAACTTCATTTCACAAGGAACGGCTCTGAGAACAGAGCTGCCCAGGCAAAGAAAATTGCTAGTCATTTGAGATTTGGAAAAGGAACATTAAAAAGACACTGAACGGTGCAAGATGTATTAATAAGTATTAAGTTATGATCCACACACATCAAGATCTGTAGATAGTATAGCCAGTTCAGATCAAGGGGTGCGATATTAAAATACTTTCCTTTTTTTAGCAATAAAAGTGCAGACATATTACATTAGGGGCAATTCAGAGAGGTAGGTCACTGGACGAGTCCCAGGAGGTACAGAATGTTGCCTCCGGTCTTGGGGCGATAATGGCATTTTCTTTAAAAAGTGGAGACAAATTCATGCCAAAGCGCTTTCATCTCCAGAATTCCCGTCATGAACGTTCTCCTGGACACCCCGGGTGCCATGGAAGGACCCATGAGACACAAAAGAAGTTGTGGAAAAACAGACCCACCTACAAAACGCTGCTTCGTCGGAGGAACAGAAATGCAGCAAAGGTGTGAATGTCACTGCGTTTAAATTTGTGTAATTTTAGTTCGCCCCAGTGGTCGCTTTCCGAAGGCTTTACAGTAATGCTTTCAATGCTTTCAGTGGAGTGACTACTTCCTACCTGGGTTCTGAGGCTTTTTGTCAATTAGAAAATTGCAATCCAAATGGAATTTTCTAAGAAACAGTCAATCAGGAGGTTTTTACAGATGACGGTGCCGTCCTAACAGAAAGAATCATGAGAATCGCCTCCGAGGGGCCAAGGGGCAGCCGGGCGCTCAGCTGAGCCAGCTCCTCGCCAGACCAAGCCTTTGCAGCTCCGCGGGGGGCTCTGAGCATGGGTTGTCCGGAACGCACCCACCATCCTAAGAATGGACGGATTTCCATCTTAAATGTTGATTTTGAATTGCCCGCGTGCAACATGCTCCCACCCAGCTTCGAACCACCCGCTTCCTCCTTCCCAGGAGGGCAGTGGCTCCGCAGCGAGAGCGTCTCCCCTCTGACTCAGGAAATCTTGCCGGTGGGCAGTCCACAGGGAGGCTGAGGAAGGAAGGAGGCCCGGTGCTGGCCCAGGGCACGCGGCCTCGGGACCTCCTGGGAGCTGACAGCGTATCAGTCAGGGTGTCTAAGGCTGGTTCAAGGTCATCTTTTTTCTTTTTTTCAAATGTTTTTATTTATTATTATTATTTTAAAATATGTTTTTATTGATTTCAGACAGAGGAAGGGAGAGAGAGATAGACACATCAATGATGAGAGAGAATCACTGATCGGCTGCCTCCTGCACGCCCCCTACTGGGGATGGAGCCTGCAACCTGGGCCTGTGCCCTGACTGGGAATCAAACTGTGACCACCTGACTCATAGGTCGACGTTCAACAACTGAGCCACACCAAGTGGGCCATGGCTCAGTTTTCTCACCCAAGTCTCAAGGCAAACATTTCACTGTTCACTTCCCATGACATGGCAATGGTCGTACCAGAATCTCAGTGTATAAAATGGGCTGCCCTAACTGGTTTGGCTCAGTGGATAGAGCGTTGGCCTGCGGACTGAAGGGTCCCAGGTTCGATTCCAGTCAAGGGCATGCACCTCGGTTCTGGGCACATTCCTGGTAAGGGGTGTGCAGGAGGCAGCTGATCGATGTTTCTAACTTTCTATCCCTCTCCCTTCCTCTCTGTAAAAAAATAAATAAATAAATAAAAGATATTTTTTTAAAAATGGGCTACAATTTCCGTGTTTACGGTTCTTGGTAAAGTAGACGTATTTCTGCTCAGCACTGTGACTGTAGCAGTAGCTCTACGTTAAAACCTGAATTATGCACTGTAGTCGGATAATGCAGGCAGGACACTTCCTCCGAATGAAAAGTAAGGAGGGTCTCCGCCCCGCCCCGGGGGACCAGCCCTGCCTGGCCTCCTGCTCTCTGAATGTCGCCGGCCTTGGAAGAACAGAGCGCCCTCCGTAGGGCATTTATCCGTGGCGACGACGCGCTGATTTCTGCCCCCGCTGCCCCCCTGTGAGGCCTCCCCGGCCCAGGCGTTCTCCACCACCTCGTCCCCAACGGCCTGGTTCCAGTTCCTTAACGTGTGTGTCAGTCACACTTTGGCCCCCACACACCTTTCCATCATCTTCTACAAATGTCAGACCTAATTCCACCTCTTCCAAGCGCTCGCGATTTTCCAATTCACCTCCCAGATTGCTCTTTTCAGGGTAAATTTTCTCCTTTCTCCTCAGCTTCACATCCACCCACGGCCCATCGCTGCCCTCGTCACACTGTCGCCGGCTCTACCGACAGACACCTGTCAAAAACGCCGTGTGCCTGTACCCGCCTCTGTACCTGTCTGTATCCACCACCACTCCACACGCGTCTTCCTCGGCCCACCGCTAAGAGTGCGCGTTCTAACCCTGTGTGGCTATAAATACACACAATTCTTTACCTGAAATCCCACTGTGACCCCAGGATGTCAGGCAAACCTGTAGTTCATAAAAATGCCTGTGAAGTCTAGGATGGATGGAGAGAATTCGTAGCTTTTGCTACATTTTCAATGGAGCATCTGACCCAAATATGTTGAGAGCCACTAATTCCATTATGAGCTCCTGAAGGCTGCGACAGTGGTGATTAATCATTGGTCTACAGCCCAGGCTAACAGTATGCTGGCTGTATCTGATTTACATATTCTTAATGCAAGGTGTCCCCCAAATGTATACACACTTTAACAGCTGATAGCTCAATTTTGAAACTGAAATGTACTTTAATAAACACTGTGGCCCAGCCAGTGTGGCTCAGTGGTGAGTGTCAACCTATGAACCAGGAGATCAGGGTTCGATTCCTGGTCAGGGCACACGCCCTGGTTGCAGGCTCGATCCCCCGTAGAGGGTGTGCAGGAGGCAGCCGGTCAATGATTCTCTCTCATCACTGATGTTTCTCTCTCTCCCTCTCCCTTCCTCTCTGAAATCAATAAAAAAAAATTTTTTAAAATAAACACTGCCTTCATAATTATTCAAAGTGTGTAACGCGTTTGGGGACACCCCGTATATGTATTATTGTTATTGGTTGGGTGACTCATACAGGAGGCAATGCCTCGCTGTTCAGCGTGGTGACTGAGGGAACAAGTGCCATGGCCTGTGCCTTGTCAAGCTGACCGGCTGCCTCAGGGCGCGATGGAGCTGGGATGGAGCTCGATGTCCCTTGCGGGGGACGCCTGGAGGAGCGATCTCGGCAGAAGTGGCGGGAGGAGACACCCCCCCCACACACCGTGATCTCACCTTCCCTGAGTAATTGCTGGCAACGTGGGCCGACAGCCTCCTGGACTGTGCGGAGCCCAGGGTGACGCTTGCACTCGCCCGCGCTGCCACCGGGGTGAATGCCAGCATCTTGCAAACTAACTGGTCTGCAGACCCGAGGGCTCGGCCGCCAGTCACAGAGAGGAGCTGAGGAGGGAGGGCACTGAGCACTCGTCACCTGAGAGCCAGAGCCCTGGTCTCGGCAGCCAATGGAAGCGCAGGACGCCCTCTGAGCCTGTGTGCTCCTGGAGCCCCAGAGCGCAGCTCGCCGCCCGGCCACAGCTCACTCCACGTCACTTCTGTCTTTGCTGACCACGCCGTGGGCTCTGGTGCACCAGCGTGAGCCTCACTCGCGCCACGTGGAGAGAAAGGAAGGCCTTGGCGCCAGTGGTTTCTGTGCAATGGCGGAGATGTGGCAGGTCTTAACATTTTAAACAAAACTTTAAAAATAAACCACAACACGAAAGCACTTTGAATTAAAAGCCTGGAACGAACTCAGAAGTTCATTTGCTCCCCGAGGCGGCCTCTGGGTGAGGTGTTGAGCCATCGATGCACCGGCTCTCATGAATGGAATCGCACACTCCGCCTCAGACACAGGGTCCAGCGTCAGCAAGAAACTACCCGATGTCTAGTCAGCAAAGTGCTCCTGAAATAGAGGCAGGTTCTCTGTCCTGCCTTGGTGCACACCACACGGCTCTTCGGGGTGAAGTCTCACCTTCACGGTGTCTGACTGCCCTGAGAGGCACACCCGCATCACACCTGCTTCACCCTCTCCCACAGGACAAGTGGGGACGGTCTAAGAAACCCCCGCTACACGGCCAGCCTGAGGTCACACTGTGCAGAAGGTGAGGGTTTGGGGCCAAAGGTGTTTGTCCAACGGGAGCCTAGAGCCGTGTGGCCGGAGCAGCCACAGCCTGCAGGCAGCTCATCCTCCGACCGTGACCCCGCTCAGCCCTCGGCGCGGGGTGCCCTCCACCTCGGGGATGGGCAGCCAGGGTTCGTCAGCACCGGGAGGTCTGGTGGCCCAGGAGGGGCCAAAGAACCTGTGTCAGAGAGAAGGGCCACAGGGAACGCACATGTTATATCCAAACAGGAATTCACCTGAAAAGACGAAGCTGCTGATTTTCCAAAACACATGTTAACAGCCTGGCACTCTTCATCGTCTAGAAAGGCCATCATTTTGAGTGAACGGGGAAATCAATGGTCGTTAGAACCATCGCCTGGAAGGAGCACTAATTATTTGCGTCGACGCGAGATGTAAATCCGTGGCCAGGCTCTTCCATGATTTATGAGACAGCGTGTCCTCTGTAAAATGGAAATTTCCGACACATGCTTCCAAAGTGATATATCAGCCACAAGAATCAATGGCCTTGCAATCTGTGAAAACTGTGTTTTTATAAACAGCCGGGAAACGTACGTAAAACCAGAGCTCAGCACATAGAAGGCTCCTTCACCGGGAAGAGGCATCCGCTGTCCAGGATTAATTCACCTTCAGAAATCCATCTTGTAGTCGTCCAACACGTTGAGATGACAGATGGCACTAACAAGGTGATTATTTAATGATAATTAATGATGGAGGCAACACAGAAAGAATGGGCTCAATTTTCCGCTGATTTAAAAAAAAATAATGCGTCCTACATGAATCGCTCAGCCCACGCGCTCAGCACATGCACAGAGATGCAGATACGTCCACGGCCCCTGCACCTGCCGCCTCGCCTGCTCCCAGTGCTGCTTAGAAAGGGGATACATTTGAGGAGCAGCACCTGTCAATCAACCTTACCGCTGCTTTTGCCGTAACATGATTGGGTGACGAGAGATAAAAGCCAAGGAAGAAAGTGTGAGATTTGGCGAATAAAAAATGTAGAGATAAAAGCTGAAAACATCAGGGAAGGGAAGAAGGACATTTGTATGGTGGTGGCTGCTTGTTTGACCGAGAAGAGCGAGGCGTTCCTTGCTTCTGAAGTGATAACCTTCTCCGCAGCCACTGGGGTGTTGGACCGAGAGGGACTTCTGGTAGAGAGATGCCGCCCTCAGCGGCGTGCGCAGCGCGGGGACCACAGAGGGTTTCGGAGAAATTCAGCCCATTCGCGATCCTGTTTTCTCCAAGGGACCCCGATGGAATGGTTATGGCCTCGAGAGCGACCACGGATGTGAAGGGACCCCGATGGAATGGTTATGGCCTCGAGAGCGACCACGGATGTGAAGGGACCCCGATGGAATGGTTATGGCCTCGAGAGCGACCACGGATGTGAATGGGACCCCGATGGAATGGTTATGGCCTCGAGAGCGACCACGGATGTGAAGGGACCCCGATGGAATGGTTATGGCCTCGAGAGCGACCACGGATGTGAAGGGACCCCGATGGAATGGTTATGGCCTCGAGAGTGACCACGGATGTGAATGGGACCCCGATGGAATGGTTATGGCCTCGAGAGCGACCACGGATGTGAAGGGACCCCGATGGAATGGTTATGGCCTCGAGAGTGACCACGGATGTGAATGGGACCCCGATGGAATGGTTATGGCCTCGAGAGCGACCACGGATGTGAAGGGACCCCGATGGAATGGTTATGGCCTCGAGAGCGACCACGGATGTGAATGGGACCCCGATGGAATGGTTATGGCCTCGAGAGCGACCACGGATGTGAATGGGACCCCGATGGAATGGTTATGGCCTCGAGAGTGACCATGGATGTGAATGGGACCCCGATGGAATGGTTATGGCCTCGAGAGCGACCACGGATGTGAAGGGACCCCAATGGAATGGTTATGGCCTCGAGAGCGACCACGGATGTGAATGGGACCCCGATGGAATGGTTATGGCCTCGAGAGCGACCACGGATGTGAATGGGACCCCGATGTTGCAAACGCACCGTGAGCAGGGAAAGGCGTGTTTTCTGCAAAAGGTGCCCTCCTCCCACATTGCCCGGGATTCGGATTCCGGGGCTGAGCACAGGCACGGACACGGGGCGGCGTTTGGGGAAGGCGGTGCGTGCTCACTGCTGTGGTCACTGTGTCCTCGTGCTGTCCTGGCTGCTCCTCGCTGGGCCTTTCCTGTTCGCGACGGTGCAGGTGCCCACAAGGGCGCTTTGTTCCTGGTTTGTTTCCCTGAGATGCAGGCACAGAGCCAGCGGGGGCTCCCTGGGGTGCGTCCGGTGGGAGAGAGACGAGCGATGTTCTTTCCTTATGGGGAGAAGGCCTCCCACTGGCCTCCCGGGATAAACCCAGGCCCGCGGTGGCCACTGGAGGACAGCAGCTGCAGGGACCTGTCAGCCCCGCACCACGTGGTCTTGGAGGTGAACTTCAGAGGAGTTACTGCTCTGTCTCCCGCCTCCCCTGCCCCCCGGCCTGTGCTGGGCTCAGCAGGGACCCGCCGGAAGCTTCCATTCATCGGGGTCCTTCTGCCCTCAGAGTCAGGACGGCCAATGCCCAGCCTTCCCACCGGAATCGCCACCCTCCAGGGAGGCCCTGAGGGTCTTCTGGTGCATGTTTCCTTCCTCTTTTTTTAAAAAAAATATTTATTGTTGAAGTACCATCGATGCCTCCCTTCCCCCCATTGCCCCCCCCCCCACCTGGTTCTCACCCCGCCCCAGGCCCTCACCACCCTACTGTCTGTGTCCACGGGCAGGCGAATATGCATGTCGATTCCCTGGTTAATTTCTTCTCGCACCACCCCACTCCCTACCCCGACTTCCATCGGAAACTCCTCAGTCTGTTCCATGTCCCCACGCCTCTGAGCTGCTGTGCTGGTCAGTTTATCTTGTTGCTAACATCTGGGTTCCTCACACCAGGGGGCAGTACGGAGCCACTCTTCCGTGTTCAGTCGGCTGCGCCCAGGTCTTGGACCTGGAGCCCCTGGGAAACGAGGCCCACGGGCTAACGAAAAACAACAACAAAACGGGGTCCTGAGTCCAAGTTCCAAGGCAGCTGCAGAGGTTTCCGGAGCCATCACTGTGGAGCCAGGTGTAGATTACGTCCTAATAAGCGCCTTTTTGTCTCCTTGGATTTGTGTGCAAATGTTTCCGCTCACCACGGTCATTGCATGTGTCCTTGGAAACACCGGTGACACGGTTACGCTCTGGCCACCTTCTGTCGCCACGTGTCCCTCGCATCCCCCACGTCTAGTCTCCGTGCGTTGGCTGCTCTGTTGCCGGCCTTTCCCGGATCCCTGTGCAGACGCCAGAGGCACTGAGCTGTCGGAGGGCTGCTCCCCTCAGTTTCCAGGTCGGCGCCAGTCAACCCTTCGGGGCCCTGGGAGGAGATGGGGCCGTGGCTGGGAAACCAGGACACAGACTTAGCTTCCTGGTTGCATGGCGGTGGGTGGCGTTCTCCTTACGATTCATGCTTCAGATCCACCCAATGGAGCAGGGCTGCCATCTGCCTGGGGGGCTGGCAGGACTGGCTGGTGCTCTGCCTTTCACGGAAGCCGCTTACCAATCGTCCGGCCTTCTGACCCACTAGGCTCTGGGGTGGGCGGGCAGCCCATCGTTTTCTCGTTTGGGGATCCTGGTGCCTTTGGGGCTCATGTCAGAGAACATGGCCTCAGCTGAACGGACGTTCTCCAGGCCGTGTCTTGGGGACACTGGGGAACGTTGCTTGGGGAACCATCTCACTTTTGAACAGTCACAGTCTTTATTTGCAAATGAAAGTGGAATTGTTTTCAATGGACCTCTTACCAGACTTCATTCTTTTCGAGGCATTGATGAGGATTATGGGTTGTTAGAAACACACAGGAAACGATACAGCACTGTACAGGTACAAACATGAGAAACTGGATACGGAGGGAAAGTTTGAAGATCAACCCTACCTAGAACCCCGTACAGTTTTTGAGGTTCATTTATAGGCAAATCACTGAATCGGTAACTGATCAGGGAACTGGATTTATGTCCTTCGAATATATTTTAGAGGTAGGAGCCACGTGATGACACACTTACGCGTTTTCATGCAGACTCTGTGCTAGACCAGCCTCAGGGCAGGGGTAAGACATCACCGGGTCACTGGGACATAGATTTACCCCGTTAGGCGTAGAGAAATTAAAACGAATACCAGTACTCATGACTAAAACAGTGATGGCGAACCTATGACACGTGAACTCATTTTTTGGTTGATTTTTCTTTGTTAAATGTCATTTAAATATATAAAATAAGTATCAAAAATATAAGCCTTTGTTTTACTATGGTTGCAAAGATCAAAAAATTTCTATATGTGACACGGCACCAGAGTTAAGTTAGGGTTTTTCAAAATGCTGACACGCCGGGCTCAAAAGGTCTTCCATCACTGGACTAAAACTTAGCAATAGTTACGGCAAAACAAGAGAAACGGACAGCGCACGTTGCAGCAGGAAAGCGTTTTAAGTGAGTCGCTGGTTGCCATCCACAGAACTTCGCACGCTAACTGTTCATTAAGAGACAGAGGAATTCCCAAGCTGACATCCCCTGTCCCGTCTTTAGCGGGAGAATCCTACACTCTCAGGGAGGGGAAGGCCCAGCCGATCCTTTGCTGCCTTTCCGTGTTTTCTTACGAGGGAGGTTCTTACCTTGGAACTGGGCGTTGAAGCCTTTGCGCCGGTGGTTGCCGTCGGAGGTGAAGTGCAGGCGCAGCCAGTTCCTGCTGCTGATGACGGGGGAGGGCAGGTTCATGCCCGTGAGCCTGGAAGAGAGGAAGAGACGCCGTGTCAACCAACAGGGCAACGGCCCACGTCACACCCGCGCCAAACCCCCTGCCGGCTACGCCCTCGCTCTGGGCTGCGTGTGCAGCCCGGACCCATCGGGGGATCTCATCTCCGCCCGACGCACAGGTCTGTGCCCGGGGATGCGGGCTCTCAGACACCTGACACCAATTCTCCTTTATGAGCGACACTTACGCGAGAGCACTGTCTCCCGTGTCTTACTGTTTCACCAGAACCGCAATGTGATGGGCTCTGAGGGAGAACAGACAAGTGACAGAACGGGCCTTTCCCTGTCTGAACCCTCAGCCAGGGTTTCACTGGAGGAGACTCGAGTAAGCAGTTTCCGTGCTGGATAGACAGCACGCAGTGGGCGCAGCGCCGTCTGCACAATCAGGACTCAGCCCCTCCACACGTGGGGACAGGCGTGTCTTAGATGATGAGAACGGGCCAGGGGCTGCGACCTGGAAGAACAGCGTGTCTGGGGAAAGCAGTAGCTTCAACAGGACGGCCTCTCAAACATCAGGCAGGTCCTTCCCGGTGAAGCTGACGGAAGACCAGCCCACTCCCCGGTGTGGCTCGGCTGTCAGCACCAAGCCAGGGGTTACTCCCGCCGGCGGACCTGTGGGCACTGGGCGTCCGTGCCTCCCGGGAGCCAAGGGCACTGTGTGCTGTGTGCCATGAGGCGTGTGCTGTGTGCGGTGTGCCTTATGCTCTGTGCCGTGTGCCATGTGACGTGTGACATGTGTCACGTGCTATGTGCCACAAGACGTGTGCTGTGTGCATGCCGTGTGCTGTGTACATATATATTTTTTTTAGAATCACTGAACACCTTCGTGGAAATGCCTCCTCCCATGGAAGTGTCCGGCCTCCTCTCAGAACCTGCGGTGACGTCACCTCACGTGGAAAAGGCCTCCTGGAGGTGTGACCAAGTCACAGATCTTGTGATGGAGAGATTGCCCTGTTTATCAGAGGGCCCGATGTAATCAGAACGAACCTCAAAGGTAGGAGGAGGAGGCAGAAGAAGGGAGGTGCGGGGAGCAGAGGTCCTGGCGCCTCCACAGTCCTCGCTGTGCGGCCTTTAGTCTGGGCCCTGGTTTTCTGAAAAGGCTTTAGCAGTGAGAGCTGCCTCAGGCCACAGTGGAGAACGGACAGGAATCATGAGCATGAGCATGAGCACGACGCAGACCATTTTAGAGAGAAAAGAGGAAATACGGGACCGGAATCTGGGCCTGTTTGCGCACAAGACACTGACTATTTATTATTATTTAAAATATACATTTTATTGATTTCAGAGAGGGAGAAAGAGAGAAGCATCAATGATGAGAGAGAATCATGTATCAGCTGCCTCCTGCACGCCCATTCTCAGGAATCGAGCCCGCAACCCAGGCATATGCCCTGACCAGAATTGAACCCAGGACTGTTCTGTCTACAGGCCGATGCTCTATCCACTGAGCCAAACTAACTGACTATTTAAATAATCAACGTATAGACACCAAGGACAACGAGCTGGTGAAATCGGGCGAATCAAAGGCATTTGGACTAAAAGGAAAGGAGGCAGGTGAGGGAAAGACACATCTCAGTAACTGGCTGGAAAGGGGGGCCTCAGACGTGGTTCATTTCCGGAGCCCCTCAAACTGGGTCGGGAACCCCATGTCACCAGGTGGTCAGCGGGAACCCAGCCGCCCGTGGAGGCGCAAAGGGGACCCTATTCCTGCTTGTGTCTCCCGAGTCTGCCCAGTGAAGCGCGTGAATCCAGGCCAGTTCGTTTCCTTTAACGGTTCAGCAAGAGTTTCCTCCTGGCAGCGGTGGAATTGGGCACCGGGCTCAGGGCACTTCCACTAAGACGACCTCAATGGGCCAAAACAGCAGGCCAGTCCATTCCAGCCCCTCCCATAGCCTGCGTCCCCTCAGGGTCTGTGTACACCACCCGTGACCCCCCCTTCTCCGGACCTCGCTCAGCCTCCCTGTCTCACCGGGAGTGTCAGGCGGAGCACACCTCCCAGAAACATCCCTGCCCGTGCACTTGCTTCTGGAACTGGGAGCTACTGAGTCAACTTGCCGAGTCCATTTTCCAAACTGTGTTTAGAAACGCTCGCCACGCTGGGGAGAGCTATGCTGGAACGCTTCCTGACAATAAGGCCGACTTCTCCCGTGTTTAGGAAATCGCCATAAACCCTGGGTGCTCCTTGTCCTTAAACGTCTTGAACGATGGAGACCAGAAAGCCCCCTCTCATGCCTCAGCTCCCTGCCCACTCCATTCACACCCACTCTGCAGCTTGGACACCCACCCCATATGCACAGTGCAACCCAGTCGACACCAAGCGCCGGCACCCTCCTGACACAGAGCGGCCTCCTTGAGCACCAAGTGCTCCGGCCTAACCGAGCAGACTGCCCTCGGGCCAGAGACTCGCCGGACAAGTGTCTCCAAAGGGGAATCCAGGCCCCTGTCGGCGCCCACAGGGGGTTCCGCAGGCGGGAGACCCAGCAGGCGATGGGCGATCTGAGCCGTGAGAGGTCGGCTGAGATGGGACAGGGTTGCCGTTGCAGAGCAGTGGTTGTGGTTGGGGACGCCCATGACAAACCCTCCCCTCCTGTAAACACCCCAGTCGCTCTGTCACCTCCCTAGAAGAGGCGGGGGAGTGAAGACACAGCCTGCTGCGGCCAACCGCTCCTGCCTTCCCCTCTCAGTGCCCGTTCTAGACAAAACCAAGACACAGGACTCCGGTGCCCCCTCGACCGACTTACAAGTTCGTGCTCCCGTGACTGTGTCGTGGGGTGTCCCCACCAGAGCCCTGGGACTCAGTTTGCCTGTGTAAATGCTTCCCGAATTTCAAAGCTGTTGCACTGATGTCCCTCCAAAGAGCTTCCTCGTGTGAGCATCTCGGTAGAATTAAGCATCCTGGCCCCATGATGCTTTGCTCCCAGTGTGATCTACGGAGCATCAGCGAGCCCTGAGACTAGACAAGGTTGGACGGTTAAGAAAGGCCACCCGATCTCTTCGTGGATGCGATTTCCACCAGTGGAAACACTGGTGAGTGTGAACGCCAAGTGGCTGGGATCTGCCGTCCATGGAGCCCAAACAGTGAGCGGGATGCCCTTGGACAGTGAGAAAGGGTCATGCCAGGGACAGGGCCGGAGCAGGACCGTGGACCCTACAGACACAAAGGCGGACCAGCGGGATTGAGCGTGGGTCCCAGCCAAGCCCGGAACTCAGCAAACTGGGCTGGACCCGAAGGTGGCGCAGATGGCCCCTTGGAGGGAAGGTGACAGATCCCGTCCTCTGAAGCTTAAGGATCCGACATCAGGGAATTGCTGGGAACAGAGCCTGGAAATGGCTCGGACAGACCAGCAATCGGATGAGACAGTCCAGAGGCAGCCCTGACAGCGTTGCTCAGGGAAGTCCTCCAAGCCAGGCCTCTCCATCCGGGAGGAAGGAGGCCGAGAAGGCAGCCTCAGCCTCTAGCATCTTCTCTCTCCGCAACCGGCAGGAGAGCCCTGGGCCTCCTCTCAGGCGGGAGGGACCTGGGCCAGGTGCTCACAAGGTCATCTCAGGGAGGAACAATCTGGGTGCAGCCAACCAGTGTGTCTCAGAGTCGGAGGCTGGGAAAGAGTCCTCAGGGTGTGTCTAATCCTGAGCCTGCGACAGCCCAGCTGCTGGTTTCAGCACCAGAGGCGAGGACAGCGCCTGAGGTATGTCCCCAGGGAACACAGGGACTGAGCCTCCTGGTGCAGGGGACCCCGTCCGCACCAGGCATGGCTGAGCACCCATCTGCTTTTTGATTATTAAAGAAGACAACGCAAACAGATTTCTGTAATAAACACACACACGGTCCATGCTCCGAGACGAACTTTAAAAACAGAGCAGAAGGACACTGGGCTTCCGCACGGCCGGTCCCTTTCTCTGTGCCATTACTTCAGAAACACATTCTCTCAGACACGGTGAACCCCACCTTCTCCCTTAGTCCCCAGGTGAGCTCAGCCCAGCCCAGCCCAGCCCCATTCAAGGTCCGGAAATGAGTCAGCTTTTGTCGTAACAAATGTCTTCCATCAGTTGGTGCAATGATGCAATGACTTGCACCGTTCGTGACCAGCTCTCCACAGGCGCCACACCTGCTGTCTGCCCCTCCGAGATGGGGGGGGGGGCCCTTTCTGATTCTGATGCTTCCCAGGGGGCCCAGATGCAGCTGTGACATGACCATCAGAACGCGAGGCACATCTGGAGACCGCAGCTGCTGCAGACCCAGGTCCCCGTCACCCGTCACGGCACCTGGCCCTGGACACAGGTGTGGGCAGGAGGCCCCTCGCAGCGCGTCTCCAAGCACCATCAGTCTGACCCTCCGTGTGAAACGGGGCATCTACGGGATGCACCTTACATAATTTTAGAGAAGACAGACTGCGTCCACTGTTAATACTCGGACAGATTTGTTAGATCTCGGTCTTATGATTTGTTTGCTGGATGAGAGCAGTAGCACCTTAATTCATCTTTCACACTCTAAACAGATGATGATGAGGAGGAGGAGGAGGAGGAAAATGGGAAATGGATGCTCACCCAGAGTGAGTCCTACCCAAGTGCCAGCCCTGTCATAACTTAATCATTCAATGGTTCCCACGGGCCAATTCGTATTTTTAAAAATATATTTTTATTGATTTCAGAGAGGAAGGGAGAGGGAGAGAGAGAAGCATCAGCGATAAGAGAGAATCATGAATCAACTGCCTCCTGCACGGCCCACACTGGGGATCGAGCCCACAACCCAGGCCTGTGCCCTGATGAGGAATCAAACCATGACCTCCTTGTTCATAGGTTGATGCTCAACCACTCAGCCACGCCAGCCGGGCTCATTTAGTATTTTACTTTGATGCTAAGGGCTGGGGACCTGTGAGGTTCGGTAAGTGGTGGCAGGGCTCACAGGAGCCTGGACCTGGATGGACCCCGAATCGGTGATTTCTGAGTGTTTTTACTCTGCAGGCGGGTCTCCACCGC